AAGGTCTCTGGCCCACAAGTCACTGCGGCTGAAGCAGGGGCTGCAACAGGCTCAGGACAGCGTCCTACAGACCCTGGGAATGTTGCACCAACCCTGCTGGGACATGTATGTGTGGCGACTGACCAGCAGAAGTATATGGGGTAGAGAGAGTGGTATATACAAGGAAAGATGGGTAGATTGAGTGTATGAGGATGGATAGATGGATATATAGGCAGCCAGAAACGTATGGGGATAGAGAGAAAGATATACACAGGGATGGATGGAGAGAGGTGTAGAGAAAGAGAGAAGGTGTACACAAGGGAGGATGCATAGACAGTGCATGGGGTTGGATACATAGACAGGAAGACAGCGCATGGGGATAGATAGATAGATAGATAGATGCAGTGTTGAAGTGGTGTTATTGTCATGATGGCCCAGGAGATTTACAAAAGGCAATAATTCTTGTGGGTGATCTCTTTTATTGGATCAAGTGTATGGTTTGTATAGACATAGGCAAGCTTTCAAGTATCATGGTAGTCCAATGGCCTGGTCCCCTCTGACCCCTTTTTGCCCCACAGTACTGTGTGTGTATGTGTATGTGTGTGTATGTGTTGGGGGGGGGGAGGGGGGGAATCACCCTCTCTGACCACCCTAGGACAGTATCCCACCTGGCACATACCCCCTACCCCCACAACATTACGTGTTCTTGTGTCTTGGCCCAGACCCAAGTCACCAAGGATGTCCGCAGGGCCAAGGCGGCGCCGGGTCGGGATCGTAGGCTTTGGACACTTAGGTGTGTTGCTCCCCCTGCCCCCCCTGCTTGTTGCTTCCTGGGAGTCTGGGCCCATAGGCCCTGGTGGGGATGGGCTGCTGCTTCCATAGAGGGAGTCCCAATGGCTGGCTGGGGATGAGCTGGATGAACTGATGCAATGTGTGGGAGCTCAGGATGGGGTGAGGGGCAAGCGGATCGGGGTGTTGCCCAGCCCCGGACATCACGATGGCAGCTGCTGCAAAGGACTCCAAGGGAGTTGCCCGTGGCGTCTGTGATGCTCCCTTTGCCTTCAGGCCAATACTTGGTGCAGAGGCTGCAGGATGATGGCCTCCAGCTCGGCCTGGAACTTGCCTTTGTTTGGAACCGGGACTCACGGAAGCTGCAAGGGCAGGTTCCCTCTACGCTCCAGCTGCTGGACCTGGCTGGGGTGCCCCAGAGGTGAGCCCCCCCTAATAGGGACCTTCCTTGAACTTCAAGTAGGCCTCAAAAAGCCCCTCTGAAATCTCCACGGAGCCTCCATAAGGACTGATCCCCAGGGGCAGTGGGGGAGAGCAGAGGTGGGTCCCTGGGCTCGTGGTATCTAGGCTCAGATGGCCACCCTGAGGCTCACTGGAGCCAGGTGCTGGGGTGGGGCACGAGTGGGTTGTGTCCTGCCAGTGACAGACTTTTCCAAGGAGCGGTGGGAGGGAGTACTGAGCAAGCTCCTGGGGTGCTGCATGAGCACTGGCCTGGCACAGGGAAGGCAAGGATTCCATTGACTCCTACTGTTATACTACCTTGTCCCCACAGGGCTGTAGATCTGGTTATAGAAGTAGCACATCCCTGCATTGCCCAGGAACATGGAGAGGCCTTCCTGGCCCATGCTGACTTCATGGTGAGGTCCTGGCCCAGCCCAGCAGCAGTGACACCATGAGGCTGGTGGGGGGGAGGGGGGTACTGCGAGAGGGGATGAAGCCCTGAGGATTCTCTAGGGGCACTGGAGTATTGTGGAGGAGTTGGTTCAGGGGGGCTCCCAGTGCGAATGGGGATGCTATGGAGGTGGGGATGCTATGGGGTGTCTGGCAGGAGGCGGCCTATGGGGAGATAGATGGGTGTTCCCTGGTTACCCTGGGCATTATGCAGTTGCCAAAGGAGTGCTGGGGGAAAGCAGGGTGCCCTGGGGTGTTGTGGATGGTAAGGGTGTTGCCCTGGGAAATGGAGAGGGCTACAGGAAAAAACAGGGTGCCCCAAAGGGTTGGGGGTGCCCATGGGGCTGTGGCTCTAGGCAACCTCCTACAAATAGCTTTCTCTGCCAGGTAGGCTCCCCTACAGCCCTGGCTGACCACGCCACGGAGACTCGGCTGCGAGAAGCTGCCCGGCGTGGGGGACACACCCTGTATGTGCCCCGGGGGGCACTGTGGGGCGGGGAGGACATCCAGCGCATGGATGACAGGGGCATGCTGCAGGTGGGGGCTGGGGCCTGCCTGGGGGGCATGTGGCCCTGGGTTGGGGAGGAGAGGCTGACTCTGGGCTCAGGGGCAGACGGGGGGGACGGGACTGTGCACCTCAGGGCTGGGTGGGGGTTTTGGGGTGCTCTCTGCCCTGCTGGGAATTAGGGGGCTGTCTCTGTTGCTTGGGGCTAAGCAGGGTTTGGGGAGGACTCTGTGAGGTGAAGGCTGCATCTCCTCCAGGTCTGACCCTGCTGTCGCTTTCCAGGGCCTCAAGGTGACAATGCTGAAGCACCCTGACAGCTTCCGGCTGCAGGGGGAGCTGCAGGTGCGGCTGCAGGGGGCACAGGCCATGCGGACTGTGTTGTACCAGGGTCCTGTGCGGGAGCTCTGCCCTCTGGCCCCCAACAATGTCAACACCATGGCAGCTGCCTGCATGGCTGCTCCCAGCCTGGGCTTCGACCAGGTGCAGGGCTGCCTCATTGCTGACCCCAGGTGAGTTTGGCTTTTGCCCAGCTCCCTGGAGCCTCCAACATTGCCCTGCACCCCAAGGGCCTCAGTGGTCTGCGCTCCCCTGGATCTTCCTAGCACCCTGTACCCCCACTCCACAGCAACCTCCTGCCACTGCCTTGCACCACCAGACTCCAGCTGTCTGTCCCCTCCCCTGGATCCCCTAGTATTGCTTTTCACACCCCAGACCCCTTGGCACTGCTCCGTACCCACAGAAGCTCCCAGCTGCCCCAACTCCCTTCCAAGCACTTCTTGGCACTCCTGGGTTCCTGCATCCCTGAGACCCTCCAGCCAGTCCTGAATCCCTAATACCGTCTTGCACTTCTGGGTTTCTCAACACTACCCTGAACACTCTCCACCCTTGTACATCAGCCCCCCTCACTCTGTGCCCCTATTGCCTTCCCTGCCCCTGCAGCCTCCCAGACTGTCATGTGGTGGAGGTAGAAGTGACAGGCCCGACCAGTGGGCCAGGGGGCCAGGCCTTCACTGTCACCAGCAGTCGGAGGAATCCGGCTTTCCCTGGAGCTGTCACAGGGAGTGCTACTTTTGTCGCCTTCTGGAGCAGCCTGCTGGGTAAGCAGATCTCATCCCTCCTGGATGAAGGAGAATCCTGTGATAATCTAGTGTTTGGTCAGCCCTGGGAGCTGCAGGCACAACTCATGCTGGGGACCATCAGTGTTTGGGGGTGGGGGCCTGGGCTAGGTGCCTTCCTGGAGGAATTGAGGGGTGGGGATAATTCAGAGCCTTAAGTCTTTCTTGTGGGAAGTAGTCCCAGCATTCCCCGGGCAGGGTTGGGAGCCCTGAACCCTGAAGACCAGCTTCTATGACCACTCTTCCTTATTTCCCTTTCAGCCTGCCAGGGCCATGGAGGATGTGTTCGCTTGTGCTGATATGGTCAGAACCAAAAGCATCACAGACTAAGGGATCTGGGCCAAGCCATGAGGGCTGGGGGCGGGTGTGGGGTGCCATCATATGAAGGAAACATTAAATATGCCAACAGCGCAGTAAGGCCCAAGAGTGAGTGTAACTTCAAGGCTAGGGGAGGAAGGGACCGTGGTCTCCATTGCCTTCACCAGCCTGGTGTGACCAGCTGTCCCAGCCCCGAGGGTGCGGAGAAAGATGCTCTCTGGGAATGGAGGGCGGGGGCGGGACCTAAGGCTCCTGGGTCCTATCTCCGCAGCTGAGCAGGCGGGTCCATGGACCGCTATGGGAACCGGGTACTGGGGCAGTGGGACGAGGCATGCCAGGGCGGGCCCTGGTGCATGCTGGGTTTG